ATTCCCGGTCCTATAAGAGCGTCCGTGGGGAATGGCACTGGCTGCAGCTGACCCTCGCCGTTCATATGGAACGAGTACGCTCTACGATGGAATGCAAAACATTAATACCTCTATCCTTACGTAATAGAATGTCTTCGATTATTTAAAAGTTCGTATCGAGGCAAAAAACAGCCATTGAAACGATAATGCATCATATACTTTCTAGGTTATGTATGCATCGGTAGTGGGTTAATTTTTTCAGTAATGCTCAGAAGCAGTGATCGTATATAATAAATTTCATAAATGATTGATTTCTTTATTCATCGAAATGTTATATAAAAATATTATATAAAATATATAAAAGTATATATTAAATACATATATAGGAAAAATAGAAATTAGTGAATTCATTGTTGAATTTAAAAATTTTGATTTTGAAACATGTAAGTACTTATTTGGATTGATTTTTTTTCTGAAGTAAATAATTCAATTATAAGCATTCATAAAAAAGTTTTATTTCATATGATAATTTTTTTATTTATTTTTTTTTTTAGTTTCTATTAAAAATAATGGGATCAATGCTTAAAAAACAAGATTTTAATTGAAGTTACATACGGTTTACCACCCGGAATATTGCTTATTCCATTAGCTGATGGTAGGATAGTCCTCACATGACCGTCGAAGCCGAGCTGTAAAAAAGAGAAAAATGTATATTTAGTTAAACTTGTAATTAAATACATCACTAGAAAAAGTATTTATATTGAATAAATTGAGAAATATAAGTTTAAAGATATAAGTATATATATCATATTATATCAATGAAAAATAAAGTTCAAAACAAAGATATATATATATACAAAATAAAAGAAATAAGAAACAAAAATACTTTGTATGTTAAAATTTAAGTTTTATTATGATATTCCTGGATTACGATATTTTTGATAAGTCAATTTCTAAAATATTTAAATATGAGAATAAATATTTCAAAATTTATATGAAAAATATTTAAAAATACACTAAAGTTATCAATAATGTACACTGTATATTATTTTTAAACGTAATAGAAAAATTATTTCATCAAAATCGATGAAAACATTATCTAAATCATGTATGTAATCATTTTATGTAAAAGAAAAGAAAAATAATCTTAATTAATAATGATATGTATATTGGATCATCTTGAAAGTTTCTATAATCTTTTAACCAATAATGGAAATGAATAATCTATATTTAATCAAGTGATTTCTAATAACCTTTTTTAAACAATGGATAACCTCAACTAGTTTCAAATTAGTTAGAATGTCAAATATCCTTAACTATCATTTAAATAATCTTAATTGATTATAATTCTTATAGCACAATTTCCTAATTAATTTCAATTTATTGATCTTAAAAAATTTCAAGCTATTATATATACTACTATATCATTATATTTTGCGAAACAAGACAAATGAAAATACTTAAATCAGAATACTACTACTTAAAAAAAAAAGAAAAAAAAAAAGAAAGAAAGAATGAAAGAAAGAAAACACAAAGAGAAGAAAAGAAATTATTCGGATAATTCAAAATTTGCATCTCTTCCTTAAAACGCCTAGGGTATTCGTAGATATCATAGATTCTCCTAGAAACAACGAACGACGAGAAAAACGAGCAGCTAGAACGTGAAGTACCATCGAAGTCCTGGCGTATGGTAAGTTGCTGT